GGAGGGTGTGCGCTGGGGGTCTAATCAGGCTGCAGAGAATCTGCTACGTTTGGGGCGCAGTGGCACAGAGGACTGACTGGGAGCTGAGCCTGGCTGCCTGGCTGAAGCCTCTTGCTCCCGTGCACGCACACATGTACGTGTGCAAACGTGAACGTGTGGTGGTGGCTGGAGACTCAGAGCTGGCCTCCTGTCTCCCTTGTCTGGACTTCCTCCTGGGCCTACTTCTGAGGGAGGGTCTCGGGGAGTAGGATGTCCAGGAGGGCTCTCTTGTGGTCTGAGGGAAGGACCACTAAGCTCCTGCTGGCTTGGGAGCTGCCCCCAGGAATGGCTGTGCATTGGCCATTCCTTGTGCACATCCCGTGGCTACCTCTTCCTGGGCAGTGCAGAGAAGACACCCCTCGGGTTCCACCAGGGACAGCGTCACCGCCCTGTGCTTCCCCCAGGATCCCTGTCCTCAGACCCCACTGCCCGCCCAGCTCCACAGCCAGAGTCCTGGCTCTGAAACAGGACGGCCAAGAACCTGATATCCAAGCAGGGATGGGGCGGTGGGCACGGCCCTCTCAGACAGGAACCCATGCCCCAGCCTCTCCAAGACTGTGGATGCAGCTGCTGGTGGGTTAGCAGCCCACTGCCTGGGCCTCAGCACCACCAGGCTCCTTGAGCAAACCCTATGGGCTGAGTAAATTACTCTTCCAGGTGAGGAAGGTGGTGGGCCAGCACCACGCCCTGCCTTGTCTTTGTAACCTCTTCTCCCCTCAGGGGACACGGGGAGGGGGCAGAGCAGGGCCGTGGGAGCTCTGGACCAGAGTCAGGACGTCAACCTCCCTGCTCTAAGGGTGGGCACAGCGAGAGGGGGGATGCTCAAGGGCCCTGTGTTGTAATGGAGCTGCCCCCATCTCTCTCAGCTGCCTCCCTCTGGGGTGGGGGTGTTCACCCCCAGGCTTTGACCTGCCCCTGCACTGGGCTTCTCTACTCGTTACCATTGGCCTGTGACCTTTAGGTGGACAAATGACCACACTGGTTCACCCTTCAGCAAAGCCTTCCACCACTGTGCCATGACACCCCTGACCTGTCCAGGCCACTATCCTCAAGCCTTGGTTATTACTGGCTGAAGTCCCTGGCAGAGTGGCAGGGGTGGTCTGAGGGCTCATTT